TACATACTGTGTGACTACTGGAGGTTACATACATACTGTATGACTACTGGAGGTTACATACATACTGTATGACTACTGGAGGTTACATACATACTGTATGACTACTGGAGGTTACATACATAGTGTGTTACTACTGGAGGTTACATACATACTGTGTTACTACTGGAGGTTACATACATACTGTATGACTACTGGAGGTTACATATATACTGTGTTACTACTGGAGGTTATATACATACTGTGTGACTACTGGAGGTTATATACATACTGTATGACTACTGGAGGTTACATAGATACTGTATGACTACTGGAGGTTATATACATACTGTGTTACTACTGGAGGTTACATACATACTGTATGACTACTGGAAGTTACATACATACTGTGTGACTACTGGAGGTTACATACATACTGTATGACTACTGGAAGTTACATACATACTGTGTGACTACTGGAGGTTACCTACATACTGTATGACTACTGGAGGTTACATACACACTGTGTTACTACTGGAGGTTACATACATACTGTGTGACTACTGGAGGTTACATACATACTGTATGACTACTGGAGTTACATACATACTATGTGACTACTGGAGGTTACATACATACTGTATCCTCCATTGCCCACCTCAGTTCTATGAGTTGGTTGTAGCTGAATATGTCTGCCTGTGACCATGCTTAGAGAACATACGTCAACTAGCTCTCACAGTCTCACGTCAGAATTAGACTTTCATCCATGTTTCTCAAACGTCAAATTTCAAAGTTGTTCAAAACGTTACATTTCAAAGTTGTTTAAGGTTAAGTTTAGGCATTAACTCCACATGTTTATGGTTAGGGTTAAGTTTAGACATGAACTTAGAAATTGTAAGGTTAGGCATTAACTACGAATGGTTAAGGTAAGCATCTGCCTCTGGTGCCAAAGGTTGCATGTTCGAATCTAGCAATAGAAAGTTGTTTTTGAGATTTTTGTTTAAGCATCTGCCTCTGATGCCAAAGGTTGCATGTTCGAATCCAGCAAAAGAAAGTTGTCAAAAACACCAGAGGCAGATGCTTACGCCCATCCACCATCCCTGTCCACAACACGCTAGCAAAACCAAAACCTACTTGAAGGTAACAGCCCTCACTGTTGCCCCTAGTGGCCGGTTTCCACGTTATCTCCCGACGTCCTCAGACATGGATGGACGTTGAATAATGACTTGTATCACTGGTGACCTGGTAGCATACGCTGCTAACAGAACCAATAAAACATACGTGTCCTGAATAGAACTAACAGAACATGAGTGTCCTGAATAGAACTAATAGAACATGAGTGTCCTGAATAGAACTAACAGAACATGAGTGTCCTGAATAGAACTAATAGAACATGAGTGTCCTGAATAGAACTAACAGAACATGAGTGTCCTGAATAGATCTAACAGAATATGAGTGTCCTGAATAGAACTAAAAGAACATGAGTGTCCTGAATAGATCTAACAGAACATGAGTGTCCTGAATAGATCTAACAGAACATGAGTGTCCTGAATAGAACTAACAGAACATGCGTGTCCTCTAGGTAACTAACATTGGTGCCTGATGCAAAAAGAGCACAGCTATAAGGTCATTGATGATGTAATGCTAAGCACCTTGATTAGGTAACGTCCATAATCATCCGTTCTGAAAAGATCTGTTGTGCAGCATTTCACAGAACAGCTGTTATTTAATAGAGTCCGGTCATGGATCACCTCTCATTGTGTTGTTTGCTCCTTGGTAAATATTTAGTCGCTTTAGTTGGTTTTTGTCCACTGACTAAATATGTGAGCTACAAGCATCCGTGACAGGTCTTAGCTAATCTCATCCTTACTGTTCTCTCTATCTACCAGGACAAAGCCTGCCTATCTAACTGCCATCTCACCTCCATCATCATTACTGGTTTCTGTATCTACCAGGACAAAGCCTGCCTGTCTAACTGCCATCTCACCACCTTCATCATTACTGGTCTCTCTATCTACCAGGACAAAGCCTGCCTGTCTAACTGCCATCTCAACACCTTCATCATTACTGGTCTCTCTATCTACCAGGACAAAGCCTGCCTATCTAACTGCCATCTCAACACCTTCATCATTACTGGTTTCTGTATTTACCAGGACAAAGCCTGCCTATCTAACTGCCATCTCACCTCCCTCATCATTACTGGTCTCTCTATCTAGCAGGACAAAGCCTGCCTGTCTAACTACCATCTCACCTCCCTCATCATCATCTCTTTAAATCCTCCCTCACAGAGCTAGGGACTGCTGCTGACAGAGAAACAAACCTACTCCGGCTCTCTTCATATACATGAAGGTCCAAAGTGACCCTATACTGTAACGGCTCTCTACATATACATGAAGGTCCAAAGTGACCCTATACTGTAACGGCTCTCTTCATATACATAAAGGTCCAAAGTGACCCTATACTGTAACGGCTCTCTTCATATACATGAAGGTCCAAAGTGACCCTATACTGTAACGGCTCTCTTCATATACATAAAGGTCCAAAGTGACCCTATACTGTAACGGCTCTCTTCATATACATAAAGGTCCAATGTGACCCTATACTGCAACGGCTCTCTTCATATACATGAAGGTCCAATGTGACCCTATACTGCAATAGTAAGACTTCTAGTCTGGAGCTGTGTGGATTTGTAACAGTTGTAGTTGTGGCTTGGATATTCTCAACACAGAGACCTGTTGAAATGATTGAGAGCCAGAGTCAGGAAATGTCATTGCCATCCATCATAGTTGTTAGGATCTGTCTTGGTATTGCACAAGGTATGAAAGCAGTCAATTATACCACACATGCAATACGGAGATAACATTTGACAAATGCGATCATAAAGTTAGAATACATAACAGAACAAAGTACGTTATGAATGTTCTAAGAATCATTGCTATTGGGGATGTGTGAAGCCTAACTGCCATCTCAACACCCTCATCATCATCTCTTTAAGTCCTCCCTCACAGAGCTAGGGACTGCTGCTGACAGAGAAACAAACCTACTCACACTCTCTTCAAATACAGGATAGTCCAATGTGACCCTATACTGTAGTGTTGGAGCTGTGTGAAGAGCTTTTGCAGATGCAGCTGTGGCTCTGTTTGGCCGTTCTCCATGCAGTTGGACCTGTTGCTGTAGGATTCCGAGCTGGAGTCAGAAAACACCATTGCCATACAGTTGATAAGACAAACACAACCATAAAGGTAAGAACAGATAACCGATACTACAGTACACTCTGAAACAATGTCCTAATTTCCATTAGAAAGAGATTTAAGTGTGTCAAATGTGGGCCCCAAAACTCTTCCAGACAGAGACACAGAAGTAAACAGAGACAGGGTTAGAGTGTAGTGGCCCCCCATTACTTTGTAATGATTGGATGCCTCCTCCACCCACTCTGTGGCAGGCGCCCAGGTATGCCTATAATAATTCCTTCTCATTTGAGCAGCACGTCTAAAGTCAGCCAGGTTCCTGCCATTGATTGTGGAGGGCCAGGTCCCTGGTGCCACACCTTATCCATCATGTTCACAGTCTGCCTCCTCCCTCCCTCCTCCCTCCCTCCTCCCTCCCACCCTCTTTCTTCTTCTCCTCCCTCTCTCTCTCTCTCTCTCTCTCCTCTCTCTCTCTCTCTCTCTCTCTCTCTCTCTCTCTCTCCTAAACTCTCTCTCTCTCTCTCTCTCTCTCTCTCTCTCTCTCTCCTACCATTCCTCTTTCATTACCTCCCCCTCCCCCTCCCCCTCCCCCCTCCCCTCCCTTCCCCTCCCTCCCTCCCTCTTTATTCACCTCCCCCTCCCTCCCTCTCTCTTCACCTCCCCCTCCCTCTCTCCCCCCTGGCCTCAACCATGCATCTTGATCTCATACCTAACCAGTCACCAACAATTACCAGCTCAACGCAAGCACACACACACACACACACACAAAACTATCCTCTCTCCCTCACACACACACACACACACACACCACTATTCCGTAGCATTAGCCTTCCTCATCGCCCCAATAATTTCTCTGCGGGCGGTGGGACGATACCTACCATCGCCGACACAGGTGGGGGAGTCATTTGTATAACGGAAGGGGGTCATGGGTGGAGGAGAGTGAAGGGAAGGGTGCGATGAGGGTTTAATGACTCGTCCCAGCCAATTTTCAGCCCATGGCTTCTTTGTGGTAAAATTAGGTTTGTAGTTAATGTAGCAGGGAGAGAGGGAGGCAGGGAGGGGGGGGGGTGCTGGGGGCTTTCTCTGATCCTGGGGGTGGAGGAAAGGAGGGAGGGAGAGAAAGAGAGGAAGAGAGGGAGGGAAAGAGAAAGAAAGGGAGGGAGAGACAGAGAGAGAGAGAGAGAGAGAGAGAGAGAGAGAGAGAGAGAGAGAGAGAGAGAGAGAGAGAGAGAGAGAGAGAGAGAGAGACCATTAAGGAAGAGGGTTCTAGAACCTATATGCCCAAGCTTCAATATTTCTATTATCGTCACATAGCCTTCATCTACACCAGGACACGTCTGGGGAAATGCTTTAATGCAGGAAGAGTCATTGAAGATGTGTGAGAGAGAGAGAGAGAGAGAGAGAGAACAAACACACACACAACAACAAACAAGCACACACACCCACACCCCCCACCACACACACACATACACATATGCACATATACAAGCACAAAGGCATACACACACAAACACAAGCACAAGCACACATACACAAAAACACACAAACACTCTCCATATCTCTCCCTCCCTCTCCCACCCTCCCTCTCCCTCTCCCTCCATCCCTCCATCCCTCCATCCCTCCATCCCTCCTCCCCCTCCTCTTTCCTTCATGTTGTTAATTTGTTTCAGCGCCCCATCTTTCATTGCTGCAATCAATAACCATTTGACTGTGTGCCGATGTAAATAGCCCAAATCTGACATTTAGAGGATATAAAACAACGGGCTCTCGATATAATCACAGCAATGGGAATCAAATGCTCACCGCAATCCATAACCTTAATACAAAATGCCCTACTTTAGAAGTATGAACGGGGAAGGGAAGACCAATGGGGAGTATGGCAGTATAACAGCCAATGAGAAGACCAGTGGGGAGTATGGCAGTATAACAGCCAATGAGAAGACCAGTGGGGAGTATGGCAGTGTAACAGCCAATGAGAAGACCAGTGGGGAGTATGGCAGTATAACAGCCAATGAGAAGACCAGTGGGGAGTATGGCAGTGTAACAGCCAATGAGAAGACCAGTGGGGAGTATGGCAGTATAACAGCCAATGAGAAGACCAGTGGGGAGTATGGCATTGTAACAGCCAATGAGAAGACCAGTGGGGAGTATGGCAGTATAACAGCCAATGAGAAGACCAGTGGGGAGTATGGCAGTGTAACAGCCAATGAGAAGACCAGTGGGGAGTATGGCAGTGTAACAGCCAATGAGAAGACCAGTGGGGAGTATGGCAGTTATAACAGCCAATGAGAAGACCAGTGGGGAGTATGGCAGTGAACAGCCAATGAGAAGACCAGTGGGGGAGTATGGCAGTGTAACAGCCAATGAGAAGACCAGTGGGGAGTATGGCAGTGTAACAGCCAATGAGAAGACCAGTGGGGAGTATGGCAGTATAACAGCCAATGAGAAGACCAGTGGGGAGTATGGCAGTGTAACAGCCAATGAGAAGACCAGTGGGGAGTATGGCAGTATAACAGCCAATGAGAAGACCAGTGGGGAGTATGGCAGTGTAACAGCCAATGAGAAGACCAGTGGGGAGTATGGCAGTGTAACAGCCAATGAGAAGACCAGTGGGGAGTATGGCAATATAACAGCCAATGAGACGACCAGTAGGGAGAATGGCAGTATAACAGCCAATGAGAAGACCAGTGGGGAGTAATGCTGTATAACAGCCAATGAGAAGACCAGCAGGGAGTATGGCAGTATAACAGCCAATGAGAAGACCAGTAGGGAGTATGGCAGTATAACAGCCAATGAGAAGACCAGTATGGAGTATGGCAGTATAACAGCCAATGAGGAGACCAGTAGGGAGTATGGCAGTATAACAGCCAATGAGAAGACCAGTGAGGAGTATTGCAGTATAACAGCCAATGAGAAGACCAGTGGTGAGTTTGGCAGTTTGTGTGTTGACATGTCAGTGTTTATTTTCTCTGTGTGGGTCACATCTGTCTATAAATGTGTGTTGTAAACGATTTTGTGTAGGAGTCTGTTTGCATGGTTTTGTTAACATGTATCTCAGAGTGCTATGTGCATTATGCATGCATGTGTGTGTGTGTGTGTGTGTGCATGTGCATATATACGTACTTGCACGTGTGTATGAGAGAGTTTGTGTGTGAGTGAGTCAGCTGCTTGCCCCAGTGATGATGGTACTACTATTGGTCCTGTGCCCCTCTCTCCATCTGGTCTGACCCTGGTAGTGATGATGGTACTGCTATTGGTCCTGTGCCCCTCTCTCCATCTGGTCTGACCTTGGTAGTGATGATGGTACTACTATTGGTCCTGTGCCCCTCTCTCCATCTGGTCTGACCCTGGTAGTGATGATGGTACTACTATTGGTCCTGTGCCCCTCTCTCCATCTGGTCTGACCCTGGTAGTGATGATGGTACTGCTCTTGGTCCTGTGCCCTTCTCTCCATCTGGTCTGACCCTGGTAGTGATGATGGTACTACTATTGGTCCTGTGCCCCTCTCTCCATCTGGTCTGACCCTGGTAGTGATGATGGTACTGCTATTGGTCCTGTGCCCCTCTCTCCATCTGGTCTGACCCTGGTAGTGATGGTGGTACTGCTCTTGGTCCTGTGCCCCTCTCTCCATCTGGTCTGACCTTGGTAGTGATGATGGTACTACTATTGGTCCTGTGTCCCTCTCTCCATCTGGTCTGACCCTGGTAGTGATGATGGTACTACTATTGGTCCTGTGCCCCTCTCTCCATCTGGTCTGACCCTGGTAGTGATGATGGTACTGCTCTTGGTCCTGTGCCCCTCTCTCCATCTGGTCTGACCCTGGTAGTGATGATGGTACTACTATTGGTCCTGTGCCCCTCTCTCCATCTGGTCTGACCCTGGTAGTGATGATGGTACTACTATTGGTCCTGTGCCCCTCTCTCCATCTGGTCTGACCCTGGTAGTGATGATGGTACTGCTATTGGTCCTGTGCCCCTCTCTCCATCTGGTCTGACCCTGGTAGTGATGATGGTACTGCTCTTGGTCCTGTGCCCCTCTCTCCATCTGGTCTGACCCTGGTAGTGATGGTGGTACTGCTCTTGGTCCTGTGCCCCTCTCTCCATCTGGTCTGACCTTGGTAGTGATGATGGTACTGCTATTGGTCCTGTGTCCCTCTCTCCATCTGGTCTGACCCTGGTAGTGATGATGGTACTGCTATTGGTCCTGTGTCCCTCTCTCCATCTGGTCTGACCCTGGTAGTGATGATGGTACTGCTATTGGTCCTGTGTCCCTCTCTCTATCTGGTCTGACCCTGGTAGTGATGGTGGTACTGCTATTGGTCCTGTGCCCCTCTCTCCATCTGGTCTGACCCTGGTAGTGATGATGGTACTACTATTGGTCCTGTGCCCCTCTCTCCATCTGGTCTGACCCTGGTAGTGATGATGGTACTGCTATTGGTCCTGTGTCCCTCTCTCCATCTGGTCTGACCTTGGTAGTGATGGTGGTACTACTATTGGTCCTGTGCCCCTCTCTCCATCTGGTCTGACCCTGGTAGTGATGGTGGTACTACTATTGGTCCTGTGCCCCTCTCTCCATCTGGTCTGACCCTGGTAGTGATGATGGTACTACTATTGGTCCTGTGCCCCTCTCTCCATCTGGTCTGACCCTGGTAGTGATGATGGTACTACTATTGGTCCTGTGCCCCTCTCTCCATCTGGTCTGACCCTGGTAGTGATGATGGTACTGCTATTGGTCCTGTGCCCCTCTCTCCATCTGGTCTGACCCTGGTAGTGATGATGGTACTGCTATTGGTCCTGTGTCCCTCTCTCCATCTGGTCTGACCCTGGTAGTGATGATGGTACTACTATTGGTCCTGTGCCCCTCTCTCCATCTGGTCTGACCCTGGTAGTGATGATGGTACTGCTATTGGACCTGTGCCCCTCTCTCCATCTGGTCTGACCCTGGTAGTGATGATGGTACTACTATTGGTCCTGTGCCCCTCTCTCCATCTGGTCTGCCCCTGGTAGTGATGGTGGTACTACTATTGGTCCTGTGCCCCTCTCTCCATCTGGTCTGACCCTGGTAGTGATGATGGTACTACTATTGGTCCTCTGCCCCTCCCCCTCGATCTGACCCAGGCCTATCGCTCCACTAATGCCAGTTGACACTGCCAGACCTCAGACCCCTCAGCCCTTTCCTCCACACGCTATAGTCCCCAACCAGCCCCCACAGGCCCTCAATGTGATACCCTGACCCAGCTACTGCGCCTCCCTGGGGGGGATAGGATGGAGGCTCTAACCCCTGTCAGACTACCATGACCCACTATGATTCACCACATGCACACATATCCCAGGGAGGCGCTTGTGTGTAGATTGCTGAGGATATATATTGTTTTACATCCATTTTAGAATAAGGCTGTAACATAACAAAATGTGGAAAAAGTCAAGGGGTCTGAATACTTTCCGAAGGCACTGTACGTCAATCTGCAAATCAAGCAAATCAAACATTGCTTTGAATCTCAGTTGAGTCTGCTGAAGATCCGAGACGAACTCGAGTGGAAAAAAGGGTAAAGAGTTTTTAGTGTAAGGGTTGAGCTTTGATCAGCTGTGTGCCCGTCCATTCAACACAGCAGCTAAGAAGACATAGAGGGAGAGAGGGAGGGAGGGAGGGAGGGAGGGAGGGAGGGAGGGGGGAGAGAGCGAGAAAGAAAGAAAGAAAGAAAGAAAGAAAGAAGAAAGAAAGAAAGAAAGAAAGAAAGAAGACAAGAAAGAAAGAAAGAAAAGAAGAAAAGAAAGAAAGAAAGAAAGAAAGAAAGAAAGAAAGAAAGAAAGAAAGAAAGAAAGAAAGAAGGGAGGGAGGCTGTGTGTGTGTGTGTGTGCATGTATACAGTGTGTTGTGTGTTTCTCTATCCGTGTGTGTCTGTACTCTGCTCACACTATTAAATCAACTAGCATATTTTAATGCCTACAGGAGCAGTGCTGTTGTGTTTTTGAGTCAGCACTCTCTGTTGTTAATCTGTCCCTCTATCATCTCTGTTCTTCCCTGTCCTTTATGAAGTCCACTGTGTCCACTCTGTCCAGGTACCAACAGACCAACCCTGACATTTCTGCCAGGCCTCCGCTGGCCGCCACACGATTCATAATTATGAAATTAAATGAATTAGCGTCTGGCGGTGGTGGCAGCGTCCTAACAGAGTAATGGTTATTGAGAGCTGGGTAATATTGAACTCAATGGTTTGTGAGTAATGCTTCCGTCAGGAAAGGCCTTCGTCTCCTCCTCCTCCAAGGGTGCGTCCCAAACGACACCCTATTTCCTATTTCGTGCACTAGGGCTCATACGGCTCTGGTCAAAAGTAGTAACCTATATAGGGAATAGGGTGCTATTTAATGCCGGGGACATTAAAGAGCGGACCCCTGTGATGTAGCGGTGTCCTGCTGTATACTGATGGGAGGTGTGTGTGTGTGTGTGTGTGTGTTGTGTGTGTGTGTGTGTGTGTGTGTTAGAGCTGGCTGAGCTACACCACAGCAGACAGGGAGGTTCCTCTGGGAAAACTAAACAAATATTAGGATAAAAATGATTTGGTCTCACAATGTTACACTAAATTCACCCAGCTAGCGCATAACGTTCTGAGAACCATATGTTTCTTAGAGCTTGGTGAGAGCGTTGTTGTCCTATGATTCTTTTGCATACAACATTCCCACAACTTCCTGGGAATGTTGCAGGATAGTTGCTTGGCTTTGGAACATTCTCTTCACATTTAAGGAACTTTACCAAAAATCTAAATTTTCTTGGTATATCAATAATTTAACAGAACATTTACTAAAACATGGTTTCATTAATTTTGGTAATGTTTTAGGAATGTTCTCCAACTGGTTTGACAATGGAAATGTTCTCAAATAGTTCCGAAAACGTTAAGAAACATTCCTATGTGGGAATTTCAGTACTTCAGCATAACGTTTCCTACAGGTTTACTCATGGTTCTATTTAATGTCATATTGTCCAATTGTTCTGAGAACGTTAAGAAAACTTTCCATGAAAACCACAAGACACCTCAGAGAACATATACATTCCATTCTCAGCATCAACACAACGGCTCTCTATGCTCTATCTTGTGTGTTCAGGTGTGTTGGCCACGCCCACTAATTGGCCACACCTGATCTTAATGAGTGCTTGTTTCCATTGAAATGGGGTCCGTTTGAATAGACACAAATTAACAGCTTTCTATGTGTAAAAACACATAGCATGCTGGCTCTATACTGGTGGCGCAGTGGACTATTCCATGGATAGAGAACAGAAGATCATAGGTTTGAATCTCACTGATGCTGTGTCACAATACATGTGTTTGCATGAATAATGCCTAAGGAACTGAATTTCCGTGTGTCATATCTGTACTTTGGAGTAAAAAAAAAGTTAACCTTAAATAAGATAAACGTCTTATTGAAACTTTTAAGGAAGTTATTCATAAACTTCCAAATACCTCCAAAAATGGCTGATAAACGCCTAAATTGGAACACAGTGGCTGTACAGAAACATTCTATACATGACGTGAGAGCTCTGGCTCTACTATTCACAGCACCGTATGAGTTGTGACTGAGAGCTGTTCTGAACTTAATACGTTTCCCCCATCCCTCCCTCTAATTGGGCTACTTTTGCATTTTTTTATTTGTTTTCTGAGTGAGGGAAATGCTGTAAATTAAGAGGACTCTATGTATTTTTGAAAAGATGAGACGTTGAGGATTATAATAAATACCGCTTTGATGTCATACAAGCAAGCCAAATACCCGGGACTCCAAATGCCCACTTCACATTTCCATATCATAAAACTCATGTCATATACAGTGTCAACGTTTATGATCACTAGGTTTGATGTAGAGTTACAAGATGACATGGTGTCATACCCTGGGTTGTTCTGTGATGAAAATTCGTCGCAGCACACACATCTGAATGCACTCATGACTCCTTTCAATGCACACCAGAATTATCATCTGTTTCCCTGAATTGCAATGTGAAAGACTGAAACTGTAATATCGTATTTTATAACTTAGCTAGTCATGTTGGCAATAGAACAGGCTTTCAAATGATGCCCGCCTGACCCAGATTGGGATTTATAATGGACTGTTTTTGGAATGTGTAAACAACAACAGTAATTGTGTAAAGGCGGGATGCAGGGTTGTGTTCCAAACAAAACAACTACAAATGTGCTGCTGTAGTTCCTCAACGACACAGCTAGGAGAGCTCAAAAAAGCACCTTATAGTTGAAAACTCTTCTTTGAGTCATAAAAGTGCAGTGAATGACTTAGGAACTGAGCACACTTTGGAGAGGTGTGTGGCCCCTTGGAGACACCAGTAAGTCCTCTCACTCAAACACTTGTAAAAAAAGAACCTATAAATAACCTATAATTTCCATTCTCAGAGTGTTGATAAAACCTCCCAGGAAAACCTCCAAGGAACCAGAGTAAAAGATTCTCAGAACTTCCCTGCAACTCAAAAATAAATCTTCCCAGAACAGGTGACATATTCACTTCTGTTCTCACAATATTTAAAAAAGATTCAGTTGGCCTCCCGGGTGGTGCAACGGTCTAAGGCACTGCATCGCAGTGCTTGAGGTGTCACTACGGACCCGGGTTCGATCCCAGGCTGTGTCACAACTGGCCATGACCGGGAGTCCCATAGGGTGGTGCACAATTGGCCCAGTGTCATGAGGGTTGGGCCGGGGAGACTTTACTTGGCTCATCGTGCTCTTGTGGCAGGTCAGGCGCCTGCTGACTTTCGTCGTCAGTTGAAATGATGGTTCCTCCGACATATTGGTGTGGGTGGGTGTTAAGAAGC